GCGGGGTGGGGGTGGGGGGATTGGCCTGGAAGCAGGGCCTGGAAGAACTGTAGACGGAGTGACGGGATGCTGTGAGGCCATTTGTAGACGTAGATGAGGAAACTGGCTCAGAGAAGTGATGGATGTGACTTTTCCAAGATCACATGCCATTGAGGAAGGAGCTAAAAAGCAGGGAAGATGCTGACATTTAGTGAGAAAATATTTACTAGATGTCAGACACTACGCAATGGACTTAGTGCATTGTTTTACTTAATAATCACAATCACTACCTAGATTTTATTGTTTTATGAATAAGGAAGCACGCTCAGAGAGGCTAAACTGCCCCAACTAAAGAGCTAGAATGCGGCAAGGAGTGGGGGTTCCGACATAGGTCTTCGGACTCTCAATGTTTTGATCTTTTCATTATACCACATTGTGGGGTAATTTTCTGATTTCACACATTCTAAATTGGGGGAGTAAGAAAGTAGAATGGCTGCTCCCTCACCTCCTATTAGACTGAGGGAGACTTAGAGCATGTGCAGAAAACTAGCAAACTGAGAGGCCCAGAGAGCAGGTGAAGACACATACCCTTGTTCATAGAATGTCAGCCAGGCTGGATTCTTCTGAGTTTCTCTCTCTCTCTCCCTCTCTCTCTCTCTCTCTCTCTCTCTCTCTCTCTCTCTCTCACACACACACACACACACACACACACACACACACAACACCGCTTTGTCAGCTAACCATTATGCCATTTTTACCTAGGTAAATTTATGCCTCTCTCTCTCTCTCTCCCTCTCCCTCTCCCTCTCCCTCTTCTGAAATCCAGATGAATGAAATGCACCTGGTGAGATGAAAGTTAGAACCCAGAGGAAAAGCTGTGAGAAATAGGAAGCTTGAAAAGAGGGAAATTAATCTCCTGGGATATGTCTGCTGATGGTGGAGGGAGCAACTCTTTGTAGGATTCTTAAGTGAAAGACTCGGAGGATGGACAGAGAGGAGACGGGGAAATGAGAGCATGCCTAATGCCTTCAACCCTGGAGGACACAGGACACTGGCCTTTTCTTCTACAACCACAGTTGGTCGGTTGGACTCCAGGGAGGCAGGTGGGTGGAACGTCTAAGTATCCCTACGTCATTATAGTTACACTTAGCATCACCCTCTCTCCACATTCCTCATCCCCCACACCTCACACCCCTCCGTCGCAGAGACAAAACAGAGACTTCTGAACACATTTATTTGATATGTCAAGTGGAGAGAGGACTGATTTGGGGTTGCTCCCCATTTCTACCCGCCAAGGGTGCTCATAAGCTCAGACACAAGAGCAGTTGGAGCCCATGGCCCACCCTGGGGACATGAGGCGCCGTGTGGTATGGTATCGGCTGGGGGGACCGGGTGGGAGTGAAAAGCAGGAAGTAGAGAGGTAAAGCTGAGAGCAGGAAGGGCAGCAGCAGAACTGAGGCCGGGACTGCTGCAGGAAACCCTCCAGGAGAAAAGATATCCCGAACAATGGTTAGGATGGGGAGCAGGGTGTGGGCAGGGAGCCAGGCCTGGAGAGAGAAGCCAGACCCGCAGAACGGGGTGACATGGTCACGAGGAGGGCAGAGTGTGCGAAGTCATGAGAGGGCTGTGTTTCAGGGCACACACGGAAAGCAAGGGGCTGCTTCTGTAGGAGGGCAAGGACTGCAGACTACCTATAAGGGGGGCTCCCTACTGCCTCTCAACAACTGCAAGTGAATTTGGGTCCCACGTGGGGCCCTAGCACAAGGGGCCTGTGTGCCTTGCTTGTGGGTAATTCTCATAAGCCTGTGAAGTAACCAGGGCATGAATGCACGTGTCTGTAAGCCCAGTAAGGAGGACGTACCCTTCCCTGCGAATAAGAGTAACTGTGCGTGTGGACACGCTTGCCCATGTGTGCGCGCACCATGCCCAGGGGCACATGCAGAAGACCCCCCTGCCCGGTGTGTGTGTGTGTGTGTGTGTGTGTGTGTGTGTGTGTGTGTGAGCTGGCTCTCCCTCTGTCCGTCAAGGTCCTGATCCCACCCTGGCTCCAGTCCCTCCTCTCAGCGCCCCGGCTCCCCAGCCCCGCCTAGACCCTGGAAGCCCCCGAGCAGGCGGATCTGCTCGTTCTGCATCGAGTGGCGCCTCACCAACTTGCGCTTGGTCCTCGGAGAGCCTGG